CGGAGGGGCGGGAGGGCAGAGGGGCGCGCGGCCCCGCGTCGGCCTCGGTGGACCTCCCGCAGGAGGAGGCGGAGAGCGAAGCCCGCAGGGGGCGGGGCCGGGAGAGGGCGGGGGTGGAGCCTCCGCGGCGCGCGGCATGGGGAGGCTTTTTCCCCTAAGATGAGGACGAAGCTGCCCTGCAGTGGAGGATAGGGTGGGGGACAGTAGCGCTGACGGCTGGGAGGCCGGGGAGAGCATCCCTGCGCGGGAGCAGGCTGGCGCCTGGGGTGGGGGACGGGGAGCATAGCAGGGTTGGACGGCCACAGGCTCTGATTGGACTTTACACCCACGCAGTGGGGGGACCGCTGAAGGGTTTTAAGCAGGAGAATGACTTGAGAAATACAGTTAGAAAGTTCTCCTAGTAACTTCCCCAGCTCCTGTGACTTTTATATATTACGAGTTTTTCATTTTCTTATATTCATACTTCGCCAGAGGGCACATATGCTTGCCACAGAGGGAGGGAGAAAGCACCTCCCAGTGGCAGTTGGGTCACCTGCAATCCTTTCTCCATGTCTCCATCCTGCGGGGTTTGGGGACATGCGTATACACACCCCTTCATCTGGACTGCATACCCTGGAGTCCTCACCCTGTCCCTTCAGGGTGGCCCCTGGATGATGCTGGGCATGCTCAGATTAGCACAGGGTCCTCATCTGCCCACAGGGCCGCTGCATCAGACAACCCTTAGCCTCCGTGGCAGGATGTTCGGTGGCCCCGGCCTTACCTGCTTGTAGCACAGCGCCCACCTTGTCTCCTGGTGGGAACTGCACTGTGCTGAGAATCAGAACTAGAATTTTTCATTTTATATCATTTTATTCATTCTTCATTCATGGTATAGTTCATTCATTCATGGTATAGTACGTGTCTGCGTGAAAGAGAAATTGGGGGGCGGGCACCATCTGCAGGGTTTGGCCACATCAAGTCCCCTTCTGGTCCTGGGTGCAAGCTCTCAGTGACTGCACCTCGTTGGTCCCGGCTGAGGGCTGGGCCCTCTAAGCCCAGGCTTCACACACAGGGGGGACTTGCTGCCCCGACCTCAGCTGCCAGGGTGTGGGCTTTCTTTCCTGGGTGTCTGCGTCAGTCCTGAGTATTCCTGCGTCTTCTGTGATGCTGAGATGCCACTGGGCCCTGGAGGCTGGATGGTGGCCTTAGAGGGACAGCCTCTCCCTAAGGGTTCAGGAAGGATAAAGCTGAGGATCTGGGGACTCGAGCTCAGGGGCTCCGGAAGTCTGGAGGCTGAGTGAGGTGGCACGCAGAGCAGGCTGTGAGTTTGGGGGATTCGTAGTTGAACTGACAGGACCTGCTGTGCTGAGCCGAGCTGAGGTGGAGACCAGGGAAGTGCCGGGCTCAGCTGCAGGTCCGGAAAGGCCCCTGCCCGGGACGTTGGTTAGGGAGCAGCGCTGACCTGGCTCTCTGCTCCGTCCAGGTGAGGGGCCCGATGTCCTGGTGTACAGCTTGGACCTCAGTGGGCACCTGCGGATGATGAGGCGGATGCAGAACCTGCTTGGCCACTACCTTATCCATGGCTTCCGGGTGCGACCAGAGCCCAGTGGAGACCTTGACTCGGAGGCCATGGTGGCTGTGTTTGGGAGCAAGGGACTCCGAGTTGTGAAAGTCAGCTGGGGACAGGGCCACTTCCGGGAGCTGTGGCGCTCTGGTCTGTGGAACATGTCTGACTGGATCTGGGATGTGCGCTGGCTGGAGGGGCACGTGGCCTTGGCACTGGGTCACAACTCCGTGGCGCTGTACGACCCTGTGGTGGGCTGCCTGCTGCAGGAGGTTCCCTGCACCGACAGGTGCACCCTCTCCTCAGCCTGCCTGATCGGGGACACGTGGAAGGAGCTGACCATAGTGGCAGGAGCTGTTTCCAACCAGCTCCTGGTCTGGTCCCCAGCCACTGCGTTAGCAGACGACAAGCCCGTGGCACCCGACCGACGGGTCAGCGGGCATGTGGGTGTCATCTTCAGCATGTCGTACCTGAAGAGCAAGGGCTTGCTGGCCACGGCTTCAGAAGACCGAAGTGTGCGCATCTGGAAGGTGGGCGACCTCCGAGTGCCGGGCGGTCGGGTGCAGAATATCGGGCACTGCTTTGGGCACAGTGCCCGAGTGTGGCAGGTCAGGCTCCTTGAGAATTACCTAATCAGTGCGGGAGAGGACTGTGTCTGCTTGGTCTGGAGCCATGAGGGTGAGATCCTTCAAGCGTTTCGGGGCCACCAGGGCCGTGGGATCCGGGCCATTGCTGCCCACGAGAGGCAGGCCTGGGTGATCACCGGTGGGGACGACTCGGGCATCCGACTGTGGCACCTGGCAGGACGTGGGCCCCCAGGCTTGGGGGTTTCTGGTCTCTGCTTCAAGTCCCGTAGCAGGCCAGGTTCCCTCAAGGCCGTGACGCTGGCTGGCTCCTGGCGGCTGCTGGCAGTGACTGACACGGGGGCCCTGTACCTCTATGACCTGGAGGTCAAGTGCTGGGAGCAGCTGCTGGAGGACAAGCAGTTCCGGTCCTACTGCCTGCTGGAAGCGGCCCCGGGACCCGAGGGCTTTGGCCTGTGTGCTATGGCCAACGGGGAGGGTCACGTCAAAGTTGTCCCCATCAACACTCCAGCTGCTGCTGTGGACCAGGCCTTGTTCCACGGGAAGGTGCACAGTGTGAGCTGGGCCCTGCGTGGCTACGAGGAGCTCCTGCTGCTGGCCTCGGGCCCTGGCGGGCTGGTGGCTTGCCTGGAGATCTCTGCGGCGCCTTCTGGCAAGGCTATCTTTGTCAAAGAACGCTGCCGGTTCCTGCTGCCCCCAAGCAAACAGAGGTGGCACACGTGCAGCGCCTTCCTACCCCCGGGTGATTTCCTCGTGTTTGGGGACCGTCGGGGCTCTGTGCTGCTGTTCCCTTCCAGACCGGATCTGCTCAAAGACCTTGCCATCGGGGACAAGCCTGGCACTGGTGCAGATGGTGGCAGTGGTGGGGGAGAGGATACGTCGACTGGGTGGGGCCCTGTGTCTGTTCTTCATTCTCTGCATGGGAAGCAGGGTGTGACGTCGGTCACCTGCCAGGGCGGCTACGTGTACACCACAGGACGTGATGGTGCTTACTACCAGCTCCTCGTGCGAGGGAGCCAGCTCCAGCCGGTCCTAAGGCAGAAGTCCTGTCGAGGCATGAACTGGGTGGCTGGGCTCCGCATGGTGCCTGACGGGAGCACGGTCATTCTGGGTTTCCATGCCAACGAGTTTGTAGTGTGGAGCCCCCGGTCTCATGAGAAACTGCACGTCATCCACTGCGGAGGGGGGCACCGCTCCTGGGCCTTCTCCGATACCGAGGGGGCCATGACCTTCGCCTACCTCAAGGATGGGGATGTCATGCTGTACCAGGCCCTGGGCGGCTGCACCCGACCGCACGTGATCCTGCGGGAGGGCCTGCATGGCCGGGAGATCACCTGCGTCAGGCGTGTGGGCAGCATCACCCTGGGGCCTGAATTCGGGGTGCCCAGCCTGATGCACCCTGACTCCCTGGAGCCTGGCAGCGAGGGGCCTGGCCTCGTTGATATCGTCATCACGTGTAGTGAGGACACCACCGTCTGTGTCCTCGCTCTGCCCACAGCAACGGGTTCAGCCCACGCGCTCACAGCTGTCTGTAACCACATCTCCTCGGTGCGCGCCTTGGTGGTGTGGGGCGTTGGCACTCCCGGTGGCTCTCAGGACCCTCGGCCAGGCCTGACCGCCCGAGTGGTGTCTGCAGGGGGCCGGGCTGAGATGCACTGCTTCAGTATCCTCGTCACCCCCGACCCTAGCACTCCGAGTGGCCTTGCCTGCCATGTCATGCACCTCGCATCTCACCGGCTGGACGAGCAGTGGGACCGGCAGCGCGGTCGGCACCGGACAGTCAAGGCAGACCCAGAGACCAGGTAACGGGTGCTGCTGGTTGGAGGCATGGGGTGGGACTGCAGGGCAAGTCCCCTGTGGGTGGCCCAGGGCTCGCAGGGCCCACGTGAAGCTATGTTCCTGCAGGTACATGTGCCTCACTGTGTGTGAACTAGACCGGTCTGGCGTGGGCCCCCTCGTGGCTGCAGCCTGTAGTGACGGGGCAGTGAGGTGAGCATGGCGGTGGCTGGGAAGCAGGATGAGAATCTGTCTTGGGTGGGTGCTGAGCCGCCCCGCCTGCCCCCAGGCTCTTTCTTTTGCAGGACTCTGGGCGACACCTGCAGCTCTTTGCTGAAACCTTTCACCATAAGCGCTGTGTCCTGAAGGTCCACTCCTTTGTGCACGAGGCACCCCAGCAGCAGCGGTGAGCAGGCTGGCTGGTAGCCACACATGGGACGGAGTGGTGGGT